AGATATATGATTGACATAAGAAGACTCTGATTAAGAAGTATGAAATCTAATAGCCAACCAATTATCTAGTCCCAGAAAGATAAAATTTGTATTTGGTTAAGGAAATTATTGTTTGAATAATGCATTATCTTTCCGAACGCGAATTATGTTAGAAAATAACTTTGCATAATTCAACTGTTCATTTTATCCCTTCACCAGAACCGGGTACTTGTAAATAACATTGTGAAACACCCGGGCAGAAATAGGGAATCATTGAAAATTTCGTAATGACCGAGATTAAAAAATCAAAGGATACGAGAATCAGGACCGCTTCCACTAAAAGGAAATATACATAATCAGCCGTACGTCCTGCAAACCTCGTAGTTTCTAGTTCTACTGAATATTTATATAGAAGAAATAACTGAATTGCGCCGCTTATATTGAAGAAATATAAAAAAAATGGTGTGTAAAGTCTCCATATCTATAAATTTTAAGAAAACATTAGAACTGTCGCATAAAGTTTTTTATCAAAAATATCAAAATTTACTTGAAATCGTGCAAAAATATCTCGAGGAAAATAAAGTAGATTCTCTATGTCGACCAAACCCAAGTTTCCCGCTAACGTTATTGCTACGAAACTCGTAAATAAGAATCTTGTGCATACAGGTATACCATTGTACCACATAGCAAGGTCATTCCGACGTTGAGGTTGTTGCCGATTCATCGCGATCTGAATTAAAGTAAAAGAACAAAAACGATAACCGTGGTTAAATGCTTAAATGTTCGATTCTCATTGGGTAAATAAAAAATTTACTTTTTTATCTATTAATATAAAAATTATTATTATTTTTTTTTTTTCAGGTAAAGAGCACTAATAGCACATGATCTTTAATTAATATAAAAATTATTTTTATAAGAAATTCTCAATTGTCTGTAGTAATTATTTTAACCAGTATTGAAAATTTTTTTTTTTTAATTTGAAAGGTTAAATAATATTAAATAACTTATAAATATTTATTTAAAATTGAAAAAATTAGATTAATTATATAATTAATAAGATAACAAAGTGAATATTAATATAAATATTATTATTATTATTTTTTTTTTTTTAATCCAATTCCATCAACTCAGATACCTATGCTTGTTATTCTCAACCTCCCAGTGTTTCTCTGGGGTATATGGATGATCATTGATCCTAAATACTCATCTTAGGTCTAAGCCTTTAAGTATAAATGGTGGGGGTGGAAAATTGCTATTTCAAGGCAAAAAAACCTTTCTATCTTGCCAGGATAATTATTGCCTGCAGCCACCAACTACAGTATTTCAACTATTCAGTTTAGCCAAGACTTACTAGGATTTAGTCAATGAAATATCATTGGTAGGATAAGAATACACTAGTATATCAAATTCGTCTGGAAATCGGATCCAGCCTCACTTTTCCTAATCTAATCTAGCAACACATATGGGGGGTTACATTTTATGGGATCATGCAGTTAACTGTCACAAGTGTACCTCTTAGGATAGAACATCCCATAATACAAACAATCTCCTGTACCCCTGACCAGATCCTTGCTACTATTGGACATGTGAAACTCTTACTGATAGTTATATGACTAATGGTTTTAGCCATCTGTACCTTTCTTTTCACTATCGGAAAGATCCCATGAAACTTTTTTCCCCTTTTGAAGATATTTCCTGGACAATACTTGATCAGAAAGTTTACCAATCAGATTATCTATCTTTTCGATCAATGGGATATAGTCTATCCATAAGGCTTCTTGATCGCCGGAACAATCCAAATCATTCTCTATCACAAGTTACAGAAGCAGTGACACAAAGTCCCTTATTTGGGATATGTGAATTGTCCCTCAGCTGGAGTTGAACCATGGGTTATAGGTTAGCCCTACCCTGCTTTAGCCTACTAAACTATGACTGGATAGGTCTATATTAGTATAAATATTAATTAATCTTAACAATTAATATATATATATATATTTATAGATAAACATTATTACTTTATTAATTGTAAAAAATGTAAGAAATTTTATACATGAAGAAAGTAACAATATCTTTTATATAACAATTAGATCAATAAGTTTAATACTAGCTTACCTATATACTCTATTAAAATAATATAGGAAAATAAATATTAAAACCTATATATTTTAAAAATAGTACTGAACAGTTATAATTATCTACTTAAAATTAAAAATAATAACTTGATTAAGTTTAGATATTAAATTCTTGAAACAAAGTGAAAGGTTAAGTTTGTTATATATAAGTTTATTTGTAACAAGAAATGATAAATCTATAATAGTTTTTTTATGAAATATTGAATTTATATTTGAGTCAGGTAACTGTTAAGTTCAAGTATAACTTTTAATATATCTATCTTTATATGACTGATAAAAGTTTTAATTTCAAGTAATTCCTATAGAAAGAGATATATTGACTGAATTGTATCTTAATTTTCAAATAAGATTATATAAGAGGATAAGGGCTTTAGTAACTATTTTTATTTAACTGTTGATATCTATTATAATGAATATTTTATTAATAAGATTACAAAATAGCTTAACTATTTGCTATATATGATCAATTGGTTTTTTGTTCTGATTTAAGCAAAGGATATTGTTTATAGTATTGATTATTTGGATTACTTGTTTTTTGATTTTGATATCTTTGAATATATATTTTATATTTTTGATTCTAAGTTCATATCTTGAACAAAAGTAATTCAGATACTGTTTAAGATAGAGTTGATTAAGAAATACTTAAGTTGAAAAAGTTCCTAAGAAAAGTTTGATTTTGAAAAGATAAGATTACTATAGGTATTGTTTTTAAGACTTCTGATTTATTTAAAGGATTTAGTTAAAATTTCTAAACCATATATATTATAGATTTCTCCAAAAGTCTTTATTATTAATGAACTTTGATATATTATATAAGTTTTATTTTATTTTATTTTTTTTTATAAATGAATGTGCAATGATGCAAATCTTTATTAATACGTGAGTAATCTACGAATTACATCAAGTGTTCTTTTACAATTATAAATTGCTTGTTGAATCGATTATATAGTCTACAATTGTAAACCAACACTGCCTAATACTTTGACATATTAGCTTACCGTCCATCTTTTTGGATCCAACATGTGAACTATACACTCATGGTGCGGCGTTTTTTACATATCGGGTGGGGTTTCTATAGGGGGGAATGCCTACCACTAGTTTAAACCACCTAATCTATAACCTGGTTTCTAAGAGCTATATCTATCCCTCAGTGGTTGGTCTTCAAATTTCTGGATATCATGATACTTTTCGTTTGGACTCTCAGAGGGGATACTTGCTCCTTGTCACCACCTGCGGCTTCGATAGATCCATACCACGAGATCCACTTCTTTTAAGCAAGCGCCGGATTGGAATAGCTCCAAACTAGGAAATCCTGGAGTCGAATTCGGCCTATTGGGTACGACATACATAGGGGCCTGCACAACCTACATATGAAAGGAGAACTTCTCAACGATCATCATGCATCAACTGGATGATCGTTATACCACGACACCTTAACGGGAAATCACAATCTCAACGCCTTACCGGATCGGCATGTGAATGGCTTCTTATGAGAAACAGCACATGATTGGTTATGATGCCAGATACCATATTAATCCTATTCAACCGCCTTCACCTGGGGTTGAACCGGTATCTTGTAATCTGACCTGTGGAGCACTAACCACTGTGCTATAGACCCACAGGTCTCTATATTATATAAGTTTTAATTAATCTAAGGATTTTTTTTGCTTATATAATATTGCTGCCCAGGTTAAGATTATTTATTCTAGAATTTTCTAAAAAGTAAAGTGGAAGAGTATTCTATTGAATAGTTTTACTTGTCTTAAGTTTTGACTTGGATTTGATAAATTAAAAAAGAATAAATTTTTGTATACTTATTGTATTAATTTTTGTTATAATAAAAAAGTAATTGTTTTTAATTATTCTTTTTGAGCTATTTAAAACTTCTTAAAAGACTTTTTTATTATCTTTGACTTCAATAGTTGATGAGTTTAAATACTATTGAATAATATTATAAATAGTTTAAAAGATATTAGATATAGGTAGGTTGATATAAAAGAATATAATTTTATGATTGTTAACAATTATATTATTTTTATGGGCTTGAATAGAGTAAAGATATATTTGGTTCAAGGCTGTTAGATAAGATAGTGTTGAAGGATTAGAAGAAAGATATATATTCTGAAAATTTTTTTCTTGAACTTGTAAAATATTAAAAACTTTTTTGATTAGATTGTTAAAACAAAATTTTGATAATAATAAGCTTTATATAGATATCCAGAGTGATAATACAGATAAGCTAATAAAGATAATAATACAATAATTGTTGCAAGTAGTATTGAATAGACAGCTTAAGTATTTGTTCAAGTTGTTGAACTGGTTTAAGAGATAATATCAACTTTTGAATAGCATATTTTTTTTGATTTCTATTGTTCTTTTATAGATTTTAACAATAATTTGAAAGAAATTAACCAATCAAAATAGTAATTTTGGATTAGGAATAGGTTCATATATATTTTTGAGAATAAAAGAATTAAAAAAGTTTTTGAACTATATTGGCTTAGAACTAAAAATGGGTTCCTAAAGTATTTAGCATATAAAATTTACATCCCTTTACATTCACGTCCCCTAGAGGACATAATTCCTAGCTCTTTATTTCAATAGGGATATAGTTTCAAAAATAATTTGTATAGATGCTTAAAACTATAAAGAACCTTTGTAGATAGTTTTTTTTTATTTCTTAATATAGAAATGA